GCCATGCACACCACAGACCCTCGCTGGTTGCATAATAATATAAGAAAATAAATAAACAAACAAAAATATATATATATATATATATGTTTTATTTTTTCATTTATTTGTATACTTATATGTTTATATATTCTTATATATATATATACAATTATATACACATACACACATAGCATATGTATGTATGTGGGCGAAGATGTTGGAGCTTCGTGGCTTGGGATACGGTTATCAGCTCCAACTGCCCCTCGGCACAACCAAACCTCACTTCGGCTTCCGACTTCGGGTTCCAACAACTCAAACTTTTTCCGACTTGAATTCATTGCCGGATGCAGAAAAAACCTTCCCAAAATCAAAAGCAGACGGAAGACACCTCAGGATCCGGAAAGGGAAACTCAGAAGCCCCACAACGGGACTGAGCCCAAGCAGCCATGATGGTCAGGCTAGTGATGGACACAGCCTCTCGTGCAGTGTCCTGAGACCCGGATGCATTGTTGGCAGCGGCTACAGTATCCGACTGTGTCATGACCCCCTCGCTCGCTGATGACCGTTACTGGGTAATCCTATAACAATGGCACTCAGTAACACCTGGAAGCGCCGGAGCTGTGATGCAGACGGATTCCAAGTGCTTTCCCGCCATGGTCGATTTACTCATGTGAGCAGGCAAGAGTCGTAAGAGTGGAGAGTGCAAGGGATCACTCCAGATCGCCAACCTCAGTCTGACATGCGCAGATACCGTGCTCAAGGCAGCGATGCCGGAGGAACTCTATGCATTGGCTTTTACGGGGCTAGGCTTCACCGGAGATCGGAGGTCGGGCAACAGCTCGCCCAGTTGCAGCGGGCCAGCGCAGCCCAGGTCTGATTGAACTAATGTGCAAGTCTCAAAGTACTGCACTGCAGGACTGCAAGTCACACCAGGACGCACAGAAGTACTCTTAAGGGTGTGGCGTGCAGAGAAGCGCAGGCGGACCGCCTGTGGAAACGACAACTAGTGGCAGAACAGCATCACCATGCTTGATTCACTTGTCAATCTTCGATACAATGCACGTGGCCTCAACAACCAGGCGCTGGCAAAGCCACTCCGAAAGATCGTCCACCGTCCTGGCGAGCAGTAGGTTTGCTCAGGTCCTGGTTGTAATTCGGCCTCATTGCAAAAGCCATGCTCGTGCCCACGCAGCTGCGGAGAATAACTGCTAATTTCTCACAACCTCGGAACTCTCCTGGCCGGCACCATGGGCATCTTCGCGGCCCAAGCAATCTGCCGGGAGGTAAGTCAAGCAAGTTCAGCTCGGTGATCGCAGGCCGTGAGTTACGTTGAATTGCCAGAATGTGAGTAATTAGCACTGGTCACTGCGGGGAACACAGGCTCCAACTCCAGAAGGTGCCTGCATGCCCTGCAGCAGGTCATTGGTTGAAACATTGACCTGCCACGTATGCAGCCGACATGATGATGCGTTAGGGCGGTTTGTGTGGACAGCAACATGCAAGGCGAAAGAAAGCCTTCACACCAGTATACAGTCTGATGAAAAGCGAACCTCTTGCTGACAAGATGCATTCCCCAGGCCCGAACTGCCCGAACGACTGCCGTTGCCTTGAGGTCGGTACTCCAATCTTTGAGAGCAGGGGCTCCTGCGGAAGACATATGGCCGTGCTCTACGACCTTAAAGCTAGCAAAACTGGACGAAAGCAGTGCGCTTCTTTCGTGCTCACGGAGAAGCATCGAGTATGTTCTGGCTTGCGTCAGGCCATTTAAAGCACGCAGGCCCCAGTATTGCACTTGCAAACTTAAACCCGTCTGTATGTTGTGACGACAGTATTCGTCCGTCGCCTTCTTCTGGGCCATCGATTGGCTCCACGAAACCTTGGCAAAAACGATTCTGAAAGGACTGCTAGCAGCTAGCAGCTAAGCAGAGGGTCCATGCAGATGTGATCGGCTTCTGGAGGAACGTCTCTGGGTACAAGCCTTCTTGCATGTGTTCCTTCCATGTTTCTCTCGCTGGTGTCCAGTATCCTCTGTGCACAAAGCCGGTCTGCGGTGCTGCTTGTGGCTACTCATCCTTCAGACCTGGCCTTATGCATCGTCCTATATGCGAAATCTTCACGTGCAAGTGCAGCAGCAAACTCCGACAGATAGTGCACCGAAACGCTTGCCACGTGTAATTACGGCAGTAGCTGATCGCGATTTCTGAAAGCTTCTTGCAGCCAGGAGGCTATGCAGCACCCTGGGCCGACCTTCGATCGCCGGCCTTGGGGTGAAGAGTTCATGCTGATGCTCGCAACTTTTTGTCTCGGAACTCAGAACATTCGGCATCCTGTCCCATCCGTAAGCTGCTCCTGAAAAATACTCAATTCGACTCGCGCCGGGTTCGGAACCTCAGAAGGGAGGTGGCGTCCAAGTCCCATGGCTGACCGGTGGCCAACCCTGCCTCAAGTCGGTTTGAGCACATGCATCTCTATTCTGTTCAGCCAGACTTGGATCCACGGTTGCAGACTTGTGGACTGTGGACATTCCTGTGCTGCTGATCAGGCTGTAACGCTGGAGATGCTGTTGAAGGTCTGCTCAACCTGCGGGCTTCCAGGGACGCGGAAGCGACTTCCGAGTGCTATCACGTGGGAAATCGAATCAAAACACGACCTCCGAACTATCATTGTTTTTGTTGACCTGCTGCTCTGTATAATGAATATTTCGATTCTATTCGACCTTGGGGTTGCCGAAACTCAAGGGCTTCGGGTTGAAAAGTTATCTTGAAACTTGACAAGGATCAAGGATGCCCTTCTTTGTGCGGTCTAGCCCCCCTTTTTGGAACATGCCCTGCTGAGTCTATTTGCCACCTTCTCCACTGCAATATCTTCATCCACATCACCGACGATAAACAGGGTGGCGTTCTCTGGCACATACCACCTGAAGAAACAAGTCACAGAGGCATAAAGTCGCTGCTCTGCACGGCAGACAGGTGAAAACGAGCCTGCTCTTTCAAAAACACTTCGATGCTAAGACGAGCACCGAATGTGAAAGGACTGCAGATCTTCTACGGTCCAGTTGGCGATCTGGTGCTCCAAGCCTTTGGCTGAAGGTTTTGACGAGATTTGTGACTGACATGCACCAAAGCACACAGCAGTTAGCGACTTGGTGGGGTCCCTGCCGATGGGAAATCTCACGTGGATCGGGTTGTCCTTGTGCATTGCTGTCAGGAACTGCGTCTGCCTCAAGGTGTCTGGTGTGACGGGGCACCGAGCCCAATCCAAAGCCAACTTAAAGTTGCACAATCCAGCATGCAGCACATGCAAGCTAAGCCTTGAATCCCTTCAGCCAAGCTCCGTACGCCAGCGCTTATGGCTGAGCACGCGAAGCAGGCACTGCAGGTACATGGGCATTCTGCTTACACTTACACTTACGAACTGCCGCGACAAGCCTGCCGCGACAAGCCTACATGTGCGATGTTAATGCCGCCGCCCCGCTAAGCCTTTCCTTTGAAGCCAGCGACCCGTCCGGAATCCGGATGTCTGAACAGCAACACTCATTGCAAACGCAGCATATTCAGTGCCACTGTATGCCCTGCTGCAGCTGCTTCAACTTTATCTCGGCATGGCTATGATAACGAATGAGCTGAGGGCTTTGGCAGTGGCTTACCTGCGCTGCCGTTTGACTGTAGTTTTGGCACTGGCCCGACAAAGCTCTTCCTGCAGCTCTTGCTCGCAAGGCTGCGGCATTTCTGACGATCCCCGCCTGTGCTTTCTGGCCGTGTTTGCGAGCACTCCGCAATGTCCCGTCCGTAAGCCAAAATGCCCATATAAGGCTCAGACTCCCGGCAATCCACAATCTCCCTCATCTCACCTTCTCTCGAAAGTATATCCAATCAGTCAATGATTCACGTTGTTCGCGGAGCCCGTGGTTATGTATTTTCAGCACGCTCTCCATCATCGCACCGGAGTAATCCAAAGGATGATGCATCTCGGCGACCATCTTTTTCGCGAACTCCCCGGCATCATCGATGGCCTTCTCCAGAAAACTCAGTCGCCGGAAAGTCGCCGAGTCCGTAGCCACAGCAGCCCAAGACGCGCCCACGGTCTCCGTGCACGGCATCCGACTCTTCTGCTTCGACGCTCTTTGGATCCGCTAGCTCCTGAAGCTTGCGTGTAGTTGCCGGTGCCATACTAGAAGTCTTTCTCCTGCCGCTTAATAGTGCATCCCTCGCTACAGCTGGTTGTTGGTCTCCAGCTGCTTGTCTTCGAGGTTTCAGGCTGAGCAGCTGCGACTCTTGTCCACTCTGCATATTTGTGACCTCCGGTGCTCAGCATGCAGGTCCTGGTCCGTACATCAGCCCACATCTACAGCCCCTCTAAGCTGAAGCCAGCTACTGAAGCCAACACGCTTTTGCTTGGTGTCTGTGACGTGATAGAGGCATTAGGAAGAGGAGAAGTACAGCCTGTCCGAAAGGTTGTGCACACAACATACACGCACGCACTTGTTACTTGCGTAGGTCTTGAGAAGAACTTTTATTTGCGGTGACTTTTTTTATCGTCGGCAGCATGCAAATCTGAGCACTTGTACCTGCGCGAGTAGCACTATATATTACCGAATGCAACTTTTGTTCCAAGTTCAATACGCAAACATGCTGCACACCATGGTGGTATCATGAGAACCTGTGCGATCAGAAATTGCTTGGCCCCCAGGCAGGCGATACTGCACGTCATTGACCATTTGAGCTTCGGAAAGAACGGCTGCGCGCTCCTTCGCAAACGTAGCGTACATTGACATGCTCCTGAGGCTCCCTGGGTCTGTGGGTGCGTGTTTGTTGCATGAGGAAATCACGAGCCCATCTGGAGTGTGCCACGGGCCGGCCAAAGCTCTTCAGGTACATAGGATGGGACGGCCGCCACTTTCGAGTAAGTGCCGTTCCCGGGAAAGATCGGATTGATTGATCAGTGCTCCTTTTCGACGCGCTCCGGGCGGAAGGCAGGATTGAAACCTTTGCCGTGCACAACTGTGACACATCTGCCTCTGCTCATGTGACGTGTATGTACATGTGCACGAGCTGGACAAGTCTACACAAACTAGTGAGGGGCGGACCGATATCTGCGAGTGCCTGCTGAGCTCAGGTCATGAATTCTTGTGCTCGAGAGGCATTCGCATCGACCATGCTATCTGCAACATTTGGGTGTCAGTCGGGCCCGAATATCGTCTCGCAAAACGCTTGGCAAAGGCATGGTGAACGATATGAACACACAAGCACGCGGACACGGCTGCATGTTCTTCCTCCCTAAGCTTCCGGAGGCCTCCTCCTAAACCAACAAAAAAAGCATCCTAAGTGTCAGTCCTGTTGGTTTCAGACGACTTCAGGGTTTGGCCTTCACCTCGCTGCATGCAGAACCTTGTCCTGTCCTGCCTCCAGTCCCTGGCTGAGGTACTCAGTGCCAAGGCTCAGGTGGTAGACCTGGGGTTGTATGGGCTGAGAGCCATCAATGCAAACACACCTCAAGCGCCGCACCGTGTGATTGAAGTCGGTGCACGCGTTGCTGGTCATGCCTGGGGCATGGTGATTTTCTGCATGTCACCCTCTTTGTACCTTCGACTCTCACACTCGCACGCGCAGGCAAGGCTCCTCATGGTTCGATCTCCGCGGATACTACTGCTCCAAGCTGACACATGAACACAACAAAATATGCAAGCACACAACAAAAGTAAGGTAAGTAAGAACAGACATCGCGGAACCAGCATGTCAGCTAAGAGCCAGTGGTTACACAACAATCAGAGCTCGAATCAGATTCTCCTGCTGGAGCATCCACATAACTGGAACGCCAATAGTGAGTATCAGCTCAGCTGATTCAGTCGTTAAAGCATTCTTCACTGTGGACTGGGCAGGCCAAGTCCCGTGAATGCTCGACCAGCATAGCTGGTGATCACAGAGCTACTACGTGCATCCATCCACGAATGATTCGTCCCGATTCTGAGATTCCTGCCCTCGCGGAGATCGTACACAATCAGATCTGCCCAGCAGCCAGAACATCCACGGGCAGCCAGCCGCCCTCGTGCACTTTGTTGTCCAGAAGCCAGCCCCAGATGTAGTCGCAGCGATGGGCATTGGTCTCCTCTGGTGGGGCGCGCGTGTCTCGTTGAACACGGATCTGCATTCTCTTGGTTACTGTCAGGTAGCCACCCTCTTTTTCCACCGCCGTTCCGGCGTACTCTGAGATAACATACATCAAAGGTGTAGGGTCATCCTTGTCCTCCAACGCGTCCCTCCAGACTCTCATGTAGAGCTCGAGTGATGCTTGCAACTCGTGAGTCATAGCCGACTGGGTCTTCTTTCCATTGATCGCCAGGATGATGTCTCCCTTTTTCAGGATTTGGTCCTGTATCTCCGAAATGCAATATCTGCGCAACACCTCGTTCTGACGCTGGGCGCTGTACAGGACATCCGTCACCTCAAAACCGACGAAGGAGCTATCGGTGCGGCAGATTGGGCTGTAGTGTAGCCCGACTGTCTCGTCTGCACTGCGACACAGCTCAAACGGAAACTCAAAACTCGCGTTCTTCTCACCATTGGCGTTTGCAGACATGCCTCTGGGCTGTGACAACCAAATCAAGCTACGGCTGAAGTTCTGTTGTTGTGTGAGTTGTGGTGGCAACTCCTTGTGCCATGGGGAAGCAATAAGGTATGCTAGCAGAAGCCTGAGCCTCGTCGGCCCTTGTGCTGACACTCATGACTCTTCTGGAGCCCTGGACCTGGAAAGCTTGAGCCAAATGGCGTACCTTGAGGCTTCAAGTGCCCGTAGTCCGACGATGACCTCTCTTTGTTTTACTCAAATTTTACTCGGTCTGAATGCAACTCAAGCAGCCCAGACCACCGCTCTGCAGCTGCATGCGGCGCTCGGAGCCCAGGAAACACACCTTGGATGAGCAATGAAGGCTTGGAACTGTTTTTGGCAGTCTCTGGCAGCAAGAACGGGACGCGGGTCCTCGTTGTGCCAAACGATTGGGAGAAGGATGCGGTCTGGCTTCAGTTTGAAGCACGAGGTCGATAGGCACTTGCACTGCACCTGGAGTTCTGAGTACTCATGCAGCCGGCTTGCAGACCTTGATTGTCCAGGGCCTCAAAACCCTTCGTCAAAGCTTCCAGGAAGCACTTGCAGATCCTTTTTCTCCCTCTTGGCTCGGAGGCCCCGATGATTTGCGAAGTCTCGCTATGAACATGGCACCTGTGGCACTGGAGCGTGGATCAAACCTGCACGCGCCGGACAGCTTGAAAGCGGGTATGCATGGGACGGTCCTACTCTGTATGATGCAGCGCACATGATGCGACAATGTGTTGCCCAAGGCTTCGGATCCCTCTGCATGGCCAGCCTCCGAGGCCATTAGCCTGGAATTACCTGCAGTATTCTCATTGTGACGGCTTTGACGGCCAGCGCCTACGGATGAAACTCTGTCGTCAGAGTCCTGCTGTGGTGGCGTTTTCCACGGAAGTTCATCAGCTGTTGCACGTGGCTCCAACTCTAAAAAGCGACGGACCACCTCTTCGTTCTGTGCCTCGGAGAAGCTGCAGGTGGAGTAGACCAGTACCCCATCCTCCTTCAGAAGTTCAAAACCTCGCTTGAGTAGGTTGTACTGCAGCTGGGCTAACTCCCGCCGCTTCTGCGCGCTCAGCCATGGCATGTGCTCCTCCAGGGCTTGAAGATTGGAGACACGCCCACGATTGTCGAAGAATTTCCGTATATGTTTTAAGGACCCATCGTGAGAACACTCTGCATCAACAATGACGCGATCATAAAGATCTGGCGGACCACGTCCTGCTGTTTTCTGCCTTTTTCTCCTAGTCTGCTTTCTGTCACCACGCGTAAGGCCCTCAGACAAGATCTCGTCTCCGTCACCGTTCCATGTCTGCCCATCCGCAAGCCACAAACCCTTCACTGACTCGTGGACTTGGCATCGCTTCACCTGACTCCTAGCAACGGTGAGCCTTTGATGGGAGCAGTCGACACCCGTCACGGAGCAAATGTCAGCTATGCAGCACAGTTTGGTCCCAGGGGCACAACAGATTTCCAAGACGTGATCTCCCTGCTTGGGTTCTAAAGCCCAAACTGCCGCTAAGCTTGAAGCATCCATTCCAAACACGGCGCCGCGCTCGTAAAGGGCGCTCTTTCGGACGTTGGCCGTCTCTGGCACCCGAAAAAGCCGAAGCTTCGAGTGAGCTTCGGCAAATTCCTTTAGCCACTGGACTTCCAAAACTTCTTCTGTGGAGCAGCTCAGGTTCTCCGCTATGCAGGCCGGGTCCAAGGACGAATCCCTGATTCGGACATACCTCTCCTCAGGCACTTCTAAGATGGCTTTGTATTCATCGCGTGTGAACGGACAGCTTGCCAGGTAGTCACGGAAGATATCTGGTAGCTCGAGCGAGTTCGCCATGCCAGTGCTTCACAACGACGCAAAGGCTGGCACATCATTTGGATCGATGCACGTGGTACACTCACAATACATTGGCTGCATGGGTTTCAGGCTACATTCTAGCTCCGCCTACAATTGGCTGAGGGCACCATTGAGCAGCCCACTGTGTGGAATCAATGAGGTCTAGCCCATGGAGAAGATTGAACAGCTGCGGCAAATCTCCTGATCCAGCCTTCGCAATGCGTATGCAACCCGAAAATGACAAGAGACGGGGAGTATGACCACCTTCCAACTGTGGTTTTGGCCCCGTCCCACGTCTTCCGGCTGTGCAGTTGGGGTTGATCTTGCTCCCCGGACCAACCCAAAGGAAGCCGAACAAGGGACCCAAAAAACAAACCGCACAGGGTCCCCGAAGATTTCCAGCAAAACCCCAACAAGGGATGCCAAAAGAGAAGTCAGAAGGGGTCCCCCAGCCAGGAGAAGCCAGACCAGATGGGTCAATGCATGAACACATCTTCAACCTTGCGAGAGTTCTTTATCCCCTGTACCTTGAATTGCTCATATGCATGTGTGCATGCATGCGTCTATTTGTCCGTCTGGCTGCCTGTCTGCCTGATCTGCATGCATGTACATACGCATGTATGCATGTGGATGTATGTACGTATGTATGGGCCCATGCGCGTCTATCTGTCTATTCGTCGTCTGACTTTCTGTCTTTCTGCCTGCCTGCCTGTCTGAACGTATGTGCATGTATGCATGTGTCTGTAATTTTGTAACAACTATGTATGTATGCATGCATGCTGATGTGCTTACTGGGTGCTAACGTTTGCGCTCCATTCTGCAATTATTGTGCTAGGATTGTGTTTTTGGAGACGGGTGAATGAGCGAGTTTGCCGGGGGAAGTACAAATCAGGAGCACAAAAATGAGCCCAGACTTCCGGAGATTTGCGGAGCACCAAAGCAGGAGACGTAGAAGACCTTTGCACTTTAAGCCTGAGTGGTAAGCGTGCAGCAAACACGCTACGGTGGTTTGAACGTGCAGGACGCCTGCAGCATGCAATCACCCCTTTTCTCCTCCTTCTAGCATCCTGCCGGCCTTTCCTGTGAATCACTCCACTCCTCCGCTCCATTTTCTTGCTCCCCGACTGAGATATGGTCTGGAAACGTGCCCCCGCGAAGAAGCGGAAGTGCTCCCATGATAGTTGTGATTTTTCGGGGGTAAGTCTTGATCGAATGCCGATATTCTACCATTACCGAGCCATAATTAGCGGGGGCGGATCCACTGGATGCACACCTATGGCAGCAAGCGTGTACATAACATACACATAAACGTATGCTTGCAGACAGACAGACAGACGGACGGACGGACACGCACATGCACTTGACATCCAAACATGTGAGCATGCCAACAAATCCATGTCGACTTGTATCTTCGCCAAGTTTCACTGCGCACGCCGCTGACTGATAGCGGCAGCATGTTCTGAGCTGCCGACATGTTCGAGCATGTGGGCCATCCCACGCTGATTCTGCGGCAAGACACGGTGTGCAGGAGGTACACATCGCGTGCAAAGCGATGCTGAAGCGGAAGCACGTGTCCCAGGTTGGAGCCGAACTACTAGCAATGCAGACCTGGGCCCGTGACCTAAAGCAGTCGAGCACCAGCGCCTCTTGTTCATCGATGGACCCCACGTGAAACTCCAAGTGTGCCTGATGGTCACCGTGCGCTCGCATGATACTTATGCACAGCGACAAAGGGCGACAGGATCACTCCACGACTCACTGGATGGCTCAGCTCAGGTGAGTTAACTTTAAAAACCTTTAACTGTTATTCGAAGATGCTTTCACACATGTGAACACCTTTAGCGACGAAACCTGGCCTCGACCCGTCCAGCTGGAACTTGATGTCGAAGAATCACGTATCTCATGCCATTCGCCAGCACTCCGCGCCTTCCAGGCGCTTGCCGGTGTTGTGGCATTTCAACATAACAGTGCCAGTAATTATGCACCTACAAGTGCAGCACGAGCTGCCACGGCATGCTGAGCCGTGTTGCGTTTTCCCGTTTGTGGGGGGGGGGGGGCGCAATAAGCAGATCCTAGGCGGATTCTTCCGCAGGTGAGGCTTTAGCTTTCCGAGAGAATGACGCGTCCGCTGTGCCTTTTCGATGAGTTCGTTGGATTTGCTTCCGCAGGTCATGCTCAAGTCTTCAGGGTTTGGGCAGGCTTCGCTTAGGACCGCACCCAAGGTTGACGGTGTGAAACCCACGCATCGGGTAAACGCCTTTGGAATGCTGCCGACAAAAGCCCATCACGCTTTCTGCAACTGAGTACGGCTGGGCTTGGGATCAACTTCCAGAAGAGGTCCACCTTCCGCAGAGCTTCCGCGCACGTCCCCTATCATCTTGGAGAATTATGAAGACGATGAGAATGCAGGGACATGATGATTATGATGATGTGATATTGCTGTTCTGCGCATAACTAGAGCAAAGGCAGCATTTGCTCATGAACGAGTATATGAAAATGACAAGAACATAAATGATAAGCACTGCAGAAAGCTTCTGACCACGATGAGGAATTCTGAAGCTTACCGGCGTCTCCCAGGCTTGAACCAAAAGCTGGGCCCATTGTATGAAACTATATGCCCCGAAAAGCGCATATACAGTCATGAACGGAAACGTACAGTCGAATGGGTCTACGATCACATACACCAGTGTAAGATAATGTCGGCACACATTCCTTGTTGATGGGGATTTACGCTCTCACGACTCGGACATGCCAGGCGAGGTTCTTGGTGCGAAGTCGGCGTGAAACAGGACTCAGGAACCACTAAGATCCAGAACCCAGCCCAAGACCAGGAAGTCTAAAACCCTTAACCATATCAAGACCGGGCAGAGGTTCCCGACAGCGACTACTGCAGCAGCAAAACAACAACGTCCCCGAAGCTTACAGAACAAAGTGCAAGAGCACATACCCCAACATGCCCTCCCCTGCTGCTGAAACTACACTACAGAGTTGCGGGTTTCCACGGGAGCCAGGCCATACCGAGTACAACACGCCCAGCCAAAGGGTTGATGGGGATTTAGGGTTTGGCATTGTGACTCTGCGCATTGAATGCATTGAAAGTTGGTTCAGTGGATCCATGTGCAGTGCTTCTGCCCAGCTGACTTCGGTCAGCACCCGCAGTCTTCTCGAGGTTTCTGTTACGCAGGGTTTACCGCTGTGCCTTTGCGATTTGGGCAAGTCGTGCTACTCTTTGGGGTTCCGACTCGGACGCTCGCACGAGGGCTTTAGGATTTGAGGCCGTGGGCCACCACTCTGGAGCCTGCAGTCCTCCCTGAATGGATTCTGGGATATCTAGGCGAATCTAGACATGACTTATCTTTAAGTTGAGCTTCAGCGCACCTTCTGCGTGCTTCTGCGCACACAGTCCCGTGCAAGGTTGTCCGGCCGAAACGAAACAAATTGCACGACCTTTTCATTTCCCTACGAAAGACGCGCAAGCAAAAGCCGCAGCTCAACTGGAACCACTCTCGGGATGGAGTCCGAAAGCCTCTCGCGCTGGCCGGAACCATCTGTCTGGACTGTTGCCGGTGTCTCCTGCGATGGTCAGAGCAAGCCCGCTTTGCCCAAGGCTACACGGGCCGGAACCCTCACCATCAACATGACAGGATCACGGATGACCAGATTAGACAATCCCAAGGATGTGTGTGTGTGGGGGGGCATCTGTGCAGGGCCTGCAAGGCAGTCGCCTTGGATGTTAAGGAACTCTTGCGTGAAGATGATTTCTTCCTTGCCTGAAGCAGCAACACTCGAAGCCAACATTTCTGATGCGGGAGAAGGCCGGCAGTGTACCTCTCCAAGCCTAAGCCTAAGGAGAACAGTGCCCTATATCGCTCTAAGACTGGACTGTGATAAACGAGATCGTCGCATCAACATGCTTAAGCCTCGTCCCAAGTCGATAAAGCCATCTGTGCAAGGTACATATGCCTGGGCTACTAAAAAGTGCGCTGGTAAATTCTGGCTATAAATACTATCTAGCTGGAACTACAACAACCTCTGGATGGAATTCCGAGCAATAGCTGTCGGTGTTCCTCGAGTTGCCAAGAACAACTAGCTAAATCCACATTTTTGCCGCGATTGCTCATGCAGGTGCAAGACCACCTGAGTGCCCGGGCCAACGAAGTGATGCCTGCTCCACGCGTTTGAGCAGGTTTCCTGACATGGTAGGCCCAGGTTTGAACTAGAGATCTTACGAAACACAACTCATGTGCATTCACAACGAGCGCTTCCTTACGCAGGGCGCTGCCTCGATGCTGCACCCGCAGCCAAGATCGTGGCACCCGCTGCGATGGTCGAGGACAGACCTGTGTTTGGATGTGCAAGCGACGGCATGCAAACACGCATCGCGGCCGGACCAAATTCTTATCATTTCCAAACCTCCAGCATTGACCCCTTCCGCATCAAAGTCATGAGGAGTACAGCTCACCTCGATCTGGAGCTTCATACGCTGCCCGGTCGTGGCGCAAGCCGAGTCTGCAGGTTTTGCACACAGACATACATGTAAGTACTCGGCCATGTGCTTCCAAAACAGTATATTGTCAGAATATGTCAGAATGCTGTGAATACAAGCACTATGATACTCCAAAACGTTTGGGTTGCCATGGTGCACTACCTGGAATTATGTCCTCGAATCGGCACATTTCTTACAGAACAAAGCGGAATTGACCGTCAACTCTGTGTTGGCGGCTGGACCTGCGGCAGTAGCATAACAAATGCTCAATTGGCAAGGACACTTTAGATGAATGTAGCGGATACAGTGTAGCCCATGGAGGGGACTGGAATCAGGACCATGATTGACTGTCCGGCGGGTTGGTTTGAGAGCTCTTGCAGGGTCTATGCTTTATGATTGAACACTGGGAAACTTGAAAGCTACCCTGCCTAGCGACTGGCGCGGCAGGTGGTGCCGCCGCGAACGTGAAGGCCTAATCAGTTCACGATAGCCGGGCGAAGATCGCGATGCGTCTCCAGGCAAACGACTTCAGCTGGGCAGGGACTGAATGCACGTTAGAGGTTCAGTTCTTTGCACGCACGTATTCTTGGGCTTCAGCTTGAAATGTCGCCCGTCGGCGCTGATGTGGACTTAACATGGTGCAAAGGACCCTTGGGGCCCCCACCTCCGTGAGCGATGCCATGGCAAACACGGAAAGCGACAAAAACTTTGCGCAGAAATGATATCTGATCTCCGATCAGTTTTCACAGTGGATGTTGATACTTCGTCGGCTGGATGACTAGACAGCTCTAGAGGAATACTGCTCGAAAGTCGAAATGCTTATGCAACCTGCAGCCAGCATATTGGAGCAAAAATGCCTCTCTATGTTGCGCTTTGATTAAGGTGAGTCTGGGGTTTACTTCATCTAAGTGGCATTCAGCATGCATCCAAAACTGCGCATGATGGCATACCATGCAGATACAATTTCGCACGGGGACACGAACAAACAAGAGCGACTTGGCTGCTTCCATCCTGAAGAACCCTTAAACAGGGTCTCTTTTTCTAGCGGTCCCGTAGCTGCAAAGCACCTGTCTAAGCACTTTGGCTCAGAACGACCTTGGGTGACTTGGCCCCGCACCCCGGTGCTCACACACGCATCACGCGCTGAAGGCGGTCGGCTACTCGACGGGCGGCGCTCTCTCCATCACGGAGGGCGCCCTGCCAACGGAAGTCTTTTGCAGTATTTCCGTCGCGTTTATGAGATGCTCCTAATCACAGATGACACGGCATCTTGCAACCCATTCGGCTGGAAGAGGAATGATCTATGTAGCCAAACCTCGGTATCCTGGAAGAAGGGCAGCATGTTTGAGAAATAAGTGCAAGTAATCAGTGCCTAGGCGGGCAGGCATCCAGCGCAAGTACGCAAAAGTCTACCAAGCGCACAGCCAAAATTCGAATCTGGCAAACAAAAATCGTAACGTGGTGTCCTGATGAGTCCCCTCAAACCAAAAAGTGTGCATTGCCTTTCTCCTAGTCTTAAAAGTATAGTAGTGATAGTAATCGGAATAATACTGCACCCTTGTATGGAAGGCCGGAGACAAATTCCGTACTTACTTCTTGGACCGGCTTCCAAAAATGCAATGGGCCGGCAAAGCTTTTCATTGTTGGGGGACCCCAAAACACATTTGGTGGCCTCAGCAAATTATCCAAGCTTCAGATTCTTGGAGCATCCCGCACAAATCAAGCCCATACCTTAATCGACTCGATGTCATTCAGCGTTGTTGTCAGCAGCTGGGGTGGGAGGCTTCTAATGCACCTTTGCCAAAAGCCCGGCACCTCGATGTAGCCATTGCCAAAGCCAATGTGGTAGTCTGAGCCTAACCCAGCTGCTTCGTGGCATCGCTCTCACAGCCCATCCAACAGTCAGAAGCGAAGCACACTTGAATTGCTTGCGCTTGCATCCATGTCCGCCCTACACATCTCATCACAGCTGCACCCCTCTGCCTGCCAAGAAAACGTTTGGGAGCTTCTCCATCTGCTGGAACGCCGTCCAGAACCTCAAAGCCCGCAAAGGCTCGCGGATCGCCCTCCGGTGAGATAGGAACGAAGACAATAATACGGTTTTCCGGTTTTTTTGACTACACCAAATCACCCCACCTGACCCGGCAGCATCTACGAGAGGATCCACTCAGCCGCGGAGCTCCGGAACGGACATCACACCCGGCGAGAAGAAGCCAGTGTACGCCCCTCTTGCAAACGGCTGATCCTGGCTAGGTGTTGTGACAGGAAGAAGACGCAAACTGTCTCTCGCTCGCACCTACGACCCGATCTTACTTACGAATTGGAACCTTTCTCCTGCACAATCAGAAAGGTAGACTTCGAGGCTTCCTCCGTCTAAGTCCGAGCATCTGCCCAGTTGTGGGCCACGAAGCTCGGCTTGAATGTTTTCGCCTTCAGAGGACTTCACTCGGAACCTCTTCCACATCGACTCGACTTCAGTAGCTCAGGAGCCTCATGCCTGCCACCCCCACTGACTGCACTGACTTTGCTTCGCCTTTGAGCTGTTGAAGCTCATGGCCAGGAACTCAACGAACCTCTCCTGACAGAGCCCAGAAAGCGCATCGCTGACTTCTGCTGTTCGCGACCATTACCCCGTACCGACAATGCCGGATCTGCATTGAGTTTGAACGCTCCGACCGACCCCAGCTCCCACCGAGAGTCAGCTTGTTGCAATGATGTGCTTGTTAAGGTCGGTTCCATGAGTTCGTTCCATTCCATCTGGCCACAAGTTCTGTGGAGCAAATGCACAACGCAGGGCTTGCGTACGCTTAACTTTATCTGGTAGCCACTGTAGGTTTTACCTTTATCTGTATGCTTGCACTTGCAAACGCTTCTAGTTCTGACACGTCTGTTGGTGTCTGCGCTGTTGACTATACTGTTACTCTGCTAACCTGTGTGGACTTACACTCTGGCTTAGACTGTATTTTGCCCGCCTTCAGGAGCCGAACGACTTGCACGTCGGATAAGCACGGACAAACAAATACCATCAGTAGATAAAAATAGGTACACGCAAGACACACAGCCACAGGTGCAGCGGCTGGGAGGACGCGATGGAAGAAGAGAGATTAAGGCGGAGACAGGGCGGAAAGCAATGACCTGTACACAGTGGACAAGTTGGATACGGGAGCTTCCACAAAAACAGATGGAAGCAGCATGAATGCCAAGAGTGCTATGCAAATCGCCCCGATACTCTTTTGCATATGTATGTATATGTATGTATATGTATGTATGTATGTATGTATGTATGTATGTGTATGTATGTGTATGTATGTGCATGTACGTATGTATGTATAAATAAATAAATATATATATATATATATATATATCCGGTTCTGTATATATACATATATATATGCATACTGTGTATATATCTATGTACATATGTATATAGATAGATAGATAGATAGATAGATAAATAGAAACGTCTTGCGGACGTGCGTGTATACAGGCCAACTCACGATACATGTGCGAGGACAAACAACTGGCGGCCTGCTGGTCGTTTTGGCTCATCTGCAGGAAGTGGAAGTTCTGCCGGCCCTCTACAAAACACACCTAGGTGACACCGCACTTGAGAAGGATGGCACATGATAGGTCACAGGCCGGGACACGATGACACCGATTCGTTGGGAGTAGGGCGAGTGGTCCATGCACTGCACAAACCTTGGTCGAGCATTGCTAAATATTGCTAACGCTGGCTTTCGATTCCGCTTCCGTCATGCAGGGTAGACAGGGTACACTGATTGTTGCTTCCACACTCGCAGTTCTTTCTGCAGCCGCTCAGACGAAAATCGATGCCACAGCAAGCCGATGGACATTGGAAACGGAACTGAACTTCAAAAGGGGTGCAAGGCGTTCGAAAGGGCCGGAAAGACTCAGACAGTGAAGGGGGGAGACGGGATATAGATCCTTCCATAAAGCTTCCACACCATCTAAACAAGATACAAGCTTTTATGTCGACGGGTGTACCCAGCCGAAAGCGGCTGCCAAAGTTGCCAGAAGGGATCACAGCGCATAGGACAAGATACGTTGAGAAAAAGGAGCAAGACGTCCGAGAAGAGATGCTGGGAAAGCGGTTGCAAGCCGATCGCAAGTTACCAGAATCCTGTCAGCATAACTCCAGAATTTGAGAGGAGCATGATTTTGAAGCAATGGACTTGAAGGATCATCAATTTTGAATAGTGGACATCGTTCAAAAGAGATTGTATAAGTTGAGAAAGGAGAACACTACTACCCTTCGAAAGTCAATTTGACTCGAGATAGTCAAGCCTAGACTCCAGCCGGCTACGAACCCTCTCAACTGCTCTGGGGCCCCAAATGCATGTGGAGCCGACGCTGGCGTAACAGAAAGAGAGCGGCAATCTGCCAAGAAGCAAGGGCAGATCCGTGTCGGGCGCAGGGAGCGACAACTTCGGTGGCAGGAGAGTGGACAGGATTTCCCCCTGTAGGCCAAGCTCCCTCCACCACGGCCCTTCCTTGTAGATGGCTGCCTCAGCTTCAAACCCATCACGGAAACAGTGAGAAGTCAGAGCTGTGATCAAAGCAAACGCCCTGGTGTCCCGAACTATATAACTTTGTCAAATAACTCGCTTTTGGCCCACATCTGGGCTTGCACGGTTTGTCTCCCTCTATCGCAAACAATTGTTCCAGAAGCCAACGGCAGCCAGGTTCCCAGCAAGGCTTTGGTGCGAACAGTTGCCTCCCCCCCGCCCTAACCGCTCCGTACGAGCACCAGAAGTTTGCAGAACGTGTTCTGAAAACCAGATGTTGGTAGGTGGCCAGCTTCAGCGACGTCCCCATGGGCATCCTTGGTGGGCTAGCTTCCGAAACGTCCACTGTTGCTGACATTCTGCTGGGGGCTTCTGCTCCAAATAGGCACGGCACAAGAACAAACATCTCCCTGCAGTGGTCGCCTTTACCCGGCGCCACCCAACTGAAGCAAGTACATGCTTTGTGGGGTGCATGGAGCTGCGTTCCAGAGTTCAGCAAAGCTGCCGCTGCAACCACTGGGCATCCACACCGCCCAGGGGCGGACTGAAGCTGATGCCCAAGATAGCTGGGGGAGGTCCTGATGAACAAAGCCACGGAGCTTTAGGCCACAAGTTCGTGATGCTTCTGACGCGCCCGCGCAACAAACACAATGGTTGCAGCACACGGTGTCCAGTAGCAGCTTGGTCTAGAAGTTACCAACAGCATAGGGAGATCTGGCCCCTGTTTTTCATCATTGAATCCCCTTCTCTTGCAGGTCCTGTAAGGATCGCGGCCCGCGCCCGGAAGGACTTGCCCCCATGCACTTGGATTTCCACGTCCCCGCCTTGGACCAGCCCGCCGGTCACTTCTGGAGTCGACTTATGTGCGGCACAATATGCGCCCAAATTGACGTGCTTGCAAGGACAGACCTTTCGTCAAACGTCAAGTCTCCGTCTGCTTTGATGGATCTCACCTCGTGGCCAAGTAGAACAGAGCTTCCAAGCTTCGCAGCAATCTGGAGAGGTATCGCTTGAGTTCCTCAGGGGCAGGAAGCATTCCGAAGCAGCCGCTGGTAACGACGTGATGGCAAACGAACGGAAGGCTAGACCAGTCAACGCCTCCTCTCACGCGGTACTGCGAGTCCGCGCCCTTGCTGTTGCAACCTGCACTCTATGCAGCCAGCATAGAATCATCTCATGGCAATTCATAAGGATTCCACAAAGCAGTGGCAGGTGATGTCGTCATGGCAACAGGTTTGACTACCATGGCTGCTGATCGATTATGCTTCCTCTGCTTCTCTATCATCCTTTTCCTGTTCTTCCTCCCCCTCCTCTTTTCCATCTCCCGCTGACCCTGATGGCAACTTCTATTGCTCAAGCTACCACTGTCACTAGTACTGCTGCTACTGCTATTGCCATTGCCACTGCTACTGACTGCTACTGTCTTCTGCTGCTGCTGCTGCTGCTGCTACAACAACAACAACAGCAGCAACTACTACTACTACTACTACTACTACTACTACTGCTACTACCACCACCACGACTACTACTGCTGCTGCTGCTGCTGCTACTGCTGCTACTACTACAACTACGACGACGACGACGACTTCCACTTCTACTTCTACAACTACGGCTACTACTGCTGCTGCCACGACTGTCACGACTACCAGTAC